AAGCTTTGGGATCCAATTTATTTGTATGATAAAGATGGACATAGGTAGTACAGTAGTACACGCAAACACTCTTAAGGGAACTTTGTTTTCCAAGTAGGGCAAGTATGTTTGGTGTAGAACATCAAGAGGAGTTTGATAAGATAGGGTGCGGTTTGGAAGACGACTAATGAGAAAAGTTGCAGTTAGGACAGCATCAGCCCAGTGATATTTGGGAACATTACTATTGAAGAGAAGTGCATGGGCTGTTTCAAGGATGTGCCTATTTTTTCTCTCAGCAATACCATTTTGTTGAGGACTACATGGGCAAGTACTTTTATGCACAATTCCATTGGAAGTCATAAACGTAGAGGTGTTTATTGAAATATTCCATGCCATTGTCAATATGGAAAGTTTGAATAGATGTGTGAAATTGGGTTTTAATCATATGATAGAAATCAATGAACACCTGTGACACATTAGATTTGTCTTTTAAAAGAAACACCCAACTGACACAAGAATGATCATCAATAAAGGTGATAAACCACTTTGAGTGGGTTCTATTAGGAGTTCATGAGGACCCCCACAGATCACTATGAATTGTTGTAAAAGGTTTGGATACAATGTATGGTAGAAGAGGAAAAGAAATGTGGTGATGTTTTGCTTTCTCACAAGAATCACAATAAAATTGAGAACAATCATTTTTATTGCAAATTGAAGGAAACATTTTTGACATCTAATTGAAATTAAGGTGACCTAAATGTTTGTGCCATAACTCCAACTCACTAGTCCTAGGGAGAGACACCTTATTGCATGACCTAACTCTACTGACATCACTTTCATCCAGGTAAAAGAGACCGTCAAACTCTTTAGCACTGCCAATCATCATCCCTAAATCTTGGAAAAGACAATAAGTAGCAAAGAAGTCAGCATGGCACCCTTCGTCTTTAGCTAATTCACCCACAGAAAGTAAACTACACTTTAAATTTGGAACATGAAGAACATGTTGTAAGGTGAGAGTAGATGAAATTCATGCACTCCCAATACTAGTAATAACTGATTCAAATGCATCTGCAATCTTGACTATAACTTTCCTTTTGCAAGGTACATATCTTGTAAACAATTTAATATTATCAATCATAAGGTCTGTGTTTTATAGTCGGTCCTAAGCATAGGTAAAAGAGAAGGGTTGTACTAGGCCCTTAACATCCAATGTAAAACTTTGTTGAATTTCTAAAAGCTTAATAAATGATAAAGCATAATGGCATCATATAATTCATGTAACCGACCCCACCTAGTGGGATAAAGCTTGTTGTTGTTGTTGTTGTATACAGTCTAAAGCACCTAAGCCTACTATCCAACAAATTCCAATGCATACTCGTTTAATAGTGACTAAGGCTTTATAAAAATTACCTCTTTAAACCACAATGGCAACAGACTACTTATTGTTAGTTTGTAAAGCCAAGAGCATCTCAAGGATTCTATTTAGTTGATCATTTGAGGGCTGTACCGAGAAGGGAGAACTATTATCACCTCTCATAGAACTTTCAGCAACATAGCCACGGCTTTTACCTTTCCTTGGCTTCCATTCAAGGGTTTACCATGGAAATCCCAACACTTGTCCTTTGTGTGACCAACCTTCTCATAATGTTCACATATAGGATGCCCTTTAGTGTTTCTAGGATCATTAGACTTGGTAGCAAGAGCAGATGTTGAAGCTTCAAGAGTACTAGCTTAAGAGATAGGTTCATCTTTTAACATTACCTTTCTTCGTGAATACTCCCTTTGAATCATTGCAAAAGCCTCACGAATAGATGGCAAAGGTTTTAGGCTCAAAATTCTGCCATGGACATCATCTAGGTTAGAATTGAATCCTACTAACAATTCATAGAGATGTTCTTTCTCAATCCGCATCCAGAACCTAGCAACATCTTTAGAGCTGGTCCATTCCTCAGTGGTAATTAAATCCAGCTCTTGCCATAAAGAGGTTTTGTCAAGGTAATATTCACTTAGGTCACGATTACCTTGCTGAACGAGCCACAACTTTGATTTAATCTCAAATACTTGAGAAGCGTTTTCACCATTGGAGTAAGCCTCCTTCACAGCTTCCCATATTTCTCGAGCTATTGGCAGAAATAAAAAGCTTTTCTTCACAGCTGGTAACATCGAGTTCACTAACCATGAACATACTGTGGAGTTCTCGCTTTCCAAAATTTGCAAGCCTTGATGTTCGTTGATTCTGGACATTGGGACTTGTCTAAAACATGCCCCCGCTTGCCATGACCCTTTATTGCAAGTCAAACAGACTGGGCCCATTCTCAATAGTTGATCCCAGTGAGTCTGTCTGAGACAAGGGAGACGAGTGAGCTCTCTTGCCCAATCATGAAGGACCCAAACCAACGCGAGCCCATACTGGACGAACCCTCTAAGCTAGTCGACTCAAATTTGTTGTAAGTTTCAGGCTGAGAGTTCAAGTCCCTCTCTATCTGCGATGATTCAGTTCTTCCTTCTTCCTTGTGTTCTGATACCATGGATAGGAATGTGCAAAACTAAATTATATTTTATTTCTGGAAGTCAACAGACTATATACATGAGGATAACCTCCATCTAGGCCGAGATTCTACGATTTACAAAGAAAAGAAATAAAAACAGAATAATCCCCTAATATATTTGATCCTATTTAATTCTACCGTATAAAATCTAATAACAAAAAAATATTTACAATAAATATTATTTAGATATTTCCACAATATCAAAGCTTTGCGCCAAACCCTTGCTGTTGGTCACAATCTAAACACTCAAAAGACAAAAGAGGAGCAGAAATTGTCCCACAAACATGCAAAAAAGTTGGGAAGCAACACCATTCCAGATGCTCTTTGTGCTTGTTGGTACCAAAGGATACTGTATGTGGCTCCAACTATTACAAGAGGTGATATGCTGGAAGTGGGAGCTTCACAAATTTCCATAGCTATCAAGAAGAAATATGATATTCAGTTGACCCAAAAGGCTAACACAAAGTTGGGCATAAGTGACAATACAAGTGTCAAGTATGAGTACAATATACAATTCAAGGCTACCATCCTATTTCAATTATCCGACGGTTACCAAGCTACACCATTCTTCATACCATTCTTATCATCTATTACTGCTAGAATTGTTGTTACCTATTATTGGGTTGGTAAGAAAACAACTTTTGGAATTCCACTCACCCAAGTATTTTTCTTCATTAAGAGGTTTCTATGTTGCAGCTTGGGGTCCATAGTTATAGGTTCTTTAAGTACATCATTTGATGAAAAAGCCAAGGTTTTGCTTGGATTCATTATCTTACAGCAGAAATCCAGTGATGCATTGCACAATGGCATATGAAAGGATGCATTTTTTATCTTTGCACAATTATCTTAGGGCTTTATTTATCACCACGGATTTGATAATTCATAAAATCCTTCAAATGAGGCATTTCAATGTAATTGGGGACATTACTTTGTCATTTGGAAGGTTTTGTGTTAGCCTCTTAGATGTCGTGTTCAAGTTATTTCTGTTGGTAACTTATGAAATCATATCTGCACATAGCAAGATTTCATGTTCCCTTTTGACTATTGTGGTTTGTTTGGGCTAGCGAACATATTACTCCTACCAATTGCATTGTTACAACAGGGTTACGAAGGCTTATGATTGCACAAGAAGGGGTAGAGCAATATCTAGATTACTTAAATACTGGGGTGAGGATTCTCTTAATAATTGGATGCAGTTGCATATCTAGCATGATATGAAGATTATAATTGCCCTAGTTTGCAGAAAAGTTACACAATTGGCATTAGTTTTCCTTCTCATGGGGTACTTTGAAAAGGATGAAGTTCAACGTGAATATAGGGGAGGCTTTTCCCCATCCTACAAGGGAGTAAAATTGCAAGATGTGTTTACAAGAGGTTGGGGTCTAGAGATGATTCAAAAAGTTGAAGACCTCAGGTTCTTAGGAATAAGAAACTAGTGTGGAGAATTCAAAATTTGCAAGAAGCCACCAAATTCCATTTCTTTTTACACCTTAAGGACAAGATGAAACTTTAAAGGAAGGGTAATGATAGAGCTGAAGAATTAGAATAGATTTATATATCATTTCCTACGGCCTATAGCACAATCTAAGGGAGGGGAAATGGTGTAGGAAAGAGACTAAAGAATTACTCCCTTCAGTCCTTATTATAGGATACTTTCAACCATTTTACGCATATTAAGAAAAGTTAGTTTTTTTTTTTTATATCATAAAAAAGTGTGAAGTACTTTCATTTTTACCCTAGACTTTAAACAATAATATAACTATATTAAATACTTTCATGCTAATCAAGAAGGGGTAAAATTGGAAAAAGTGATTTAATTTTTACAAAGTGTCTTATATTTTGAACCAAAAATCACTTCTAGAAGGTGTCTTATAAATAGGATCGGAGGGAATATCTTCCAGTGGATAAGAGAATTACACAAAGGTTCCTGGCTAAAGGGGAAAAAGTGGTGTATGAATAGGGATTAGGTGCAGCTAGGGGTCCCTTTGGCTAGAGAGAAGGGTGCAGAGTCTTTTGAAAGTGGAGAGAAGTGATAAGAGCTCTGGCCTCTCAAATGCCAGGCAGGGGGTAGACAAAGATCATATTTCTTCATCATTTGTTTGTATGTAGCTAATGTCTGGGTTGCTGTTCTGGGTGTATTTTGTGTTGTTCTTGTACTCGGAAACTGTAGTTTAAGTGTATGAGTGACAGTGAGATGAGATTGGCTTGAATCATTATTTTCCCCGTAATTCAACTTTATTATCCAGCTGTAGTATTGTCAGTCCCCATTTGTACTGTATTTTCTGTTTTTTGTGCTTGTTTAAACCTTACTAGATTAGACAGTTCCATCAGACTATAACAGGATCTCAACAGGATCTCACCTGCGCACGCAGAAATTTGTGGAAATTGATGAATTTTTGTTTCATTGTATTTCCAAAAAAATTGAAAAAACTGAATAATGATTATATAAGAATTCAGAAATACAAGCAATACCTATTGTATCAAATCCATCAAACGCTGCTGCCAAAGACCTATACAGCAAGAACAACATGCTTTAAGTCATCAAAATTATTAATGAAGTTGGAAACAGGGAAAGCTCTTTTTTTGGCCATATAAAGGAAAAGCTCTTGAAAATAAAGTAAATAACCTTTTCTTTGGGAGGTGACTGTCGAATGCATATCTTGCCTTGCAGACCCCACTTTTCAATGAAGCAGGGGAACTAGTACCCCTTTGAAATGTCTTTTTCTTCCATGACGTATCGTACTCCCTCTCATTGTCAAACTTCTCATCAGAGAAGCTAGAACTAGGTGCTTTAACCATGGGATTAAATATTTGTTAGAGATTATAACAAAGAAAATCACCATGTAATATTTTCGAAAGAACATGAGACCATGAACCTAGGCCACATCAAGATTTTCAGCAGTTTAGGTGCAGTGAGAACTCAGCCAAACATAGATGACCCAGTTAGGTTTCCAATGAATCACCGACCTGTCAAACCTGGTTGAATCTATATGATAGGAAATGCTATTAGAGTTATTTTATCTTCATTTTAATTAAGCTTTTCAAATAAAGTTAATTTTTGTTAGGATATCTATATTGACATTCAGATTTAATTAGGGTTTATCTAATCTTATCTCTTAGAATTTGTCTCTTATCCTATTAGGATTAGTTTGGATTTTTTTTTTTTTTTGGCATGAGCTCTAGTATCCCAAGTCTTTAACCCGGACTAATCCAGTTGGCAACCGATTATTATTATTTTAAATAAGTGTATCTATAGCCGACTCCACCAAGTGGGATGAGGCTTCTTCTTCTTGTCGTCGTTGTCGCACTTAGGGATTTGTCAATAATCCTAGGGTTTTGTTGGACCATTTTAATGAATTGAATAATATTAAGTATTTTTCTCTCACTCTCTTCCCCAATTTCTTTTCTCCATCCTTTCTTTCTATTTCTACCCCTTTCTTTCCTTTCTCCTTTTGTCTCTATATTTCTTCCTCCTCCTCCCCCCTCCCCTTTCCCGACTCGTTTTATATCACTATATCAAATAATTGGGATTTATTTAGTCTAACATATAAAAGATCACATGCTCCAAGTTTTTCCATCGATAAAAAAGAATACTCGATCACCGTAAAGGTATAAATACTAACTTCTTGCTAAAATTTTTCTTTCTATTTCTCATACACCTGAAATGAAACAGAAATTTAACTCAGTCACTAGTACTAGTAGGATGACTGTCAACAACAAAAAACCTTACCCTACTAGGTGAGATCAACTACATGGATTGGACAACTATCAACAAGTCATTTTCCCAAATTTAAAGACTTGTAAATTTGTTGAAACTTATATGGAGATCCACGCAGTCCTTTCAAAATAATTGTAATTTTAACTAATTTGTACATGCATTAGATTGCTAAATTAGATACTTATGATAGACATACTTTACGTGATGAAAAAATATGTTATCAAAATTCAGAAATGGGACAATCCATGCATTATGTTGCAAACTCTTATAGAAGCAAGGAACTTAAGCAAGACCATGGCATTATCTATTTTACTCCACTATTGCTTATCATGTTTTCTCTGAGTAAATAACATTTCGTGTGTTCAGCATGTGAACTAAGCTTCCATACTTAATATAAAATCTACACATTTTCAAATAATTCAGATTGCAAGGTACATTATTATCCAATCTTTCAAAATAGTTAATATATTAGCAAGGTCTAAAGTATCATTACCATTCCAAATGTCATCTTTAATCTCACTGGTGCAGAAGAATTCTTGGCTGATGAAAGAACCATTTTTATTAGCTTGGTCATTAAAATGGTTATAGTCCTGAGAAGCAACTAAGCCCTGCTTTCCCTTGTTATATGGAAGGTTTGAAAAATTGCTGATAGAGGCACCATTGATATCTTTCATCATCAGGTCCTAAAAATAATGCATCAAACTGAATTTAAAATCCCATTTAGTGCAAGACATGAAGTCAGTCAATATGAATCATAAAGATGAAACATCATGCAAAATGCATAACAAAGGGACTATTTGTAATAGTGGCAAGGATTACAAAAAGGAATCCTAGGAATCCAGAGAACCATTAGACAAACTTAGCCAGCCTTTTTTTTTTTTTGTAAGTCTAAGTCGGCCTTCTCTTTTTATAAAAGCGGCAGGTCATTTGTTTTGAAAATCTACGAATAACAATATCTCCCAAAATGCTCCTCACAAGTCATTACTTGCCAGGTCAAACCATATTTTTATGAAAGATACAAATTTGACTCACATAAATAGATTCGATATAGTTTTTCTGTTATTGCATCTCAGCAAAAACATATATGAAAGGCTATCCAAAACATAATATGTTTTTCCCCCATAATTTACATACTCAATCAGACTATTGGCTCAATCAGTATCAGTGGGACATACTGAAACCATTGTATGCATTAAAAATGGGGGAAGCCCCACTTTCAGGGAACAGTAAGCATTTGTGCATGAGTAGTAGAGGAATAGAGCAGTGAGGAAGTCGAGTTATTGTGCAAATTATCTTACATTACCCAACTATCCTCAGCAGCAGGTAGTGGAAAATGGGTTTGACAACGTATTATATCCAACAACATACCAATATCCTAAACAAAGGCTTTTTAAACAAACAAAAATCAAAAGCATAGTTTAACTCTCAGAAATGGAACAGGTTGTAAACTAACTCAAATATAATAATTAAAAAATGCTTGTAGGGAACTTGCACTTTGACTACTTATAGCATTAGAAGATGCACATTGGATTAGTCCATTTAAGAAAAGAAAGATGATTTTCAATGATGTCCTTACCACTTCAAGTTCAAGGTCTTCCAGTTCATGGTTAATGGCCTTTGACCACTTCTTTTTCTTTTCATCCTTCAGCAATTGAGAGAAACCATAAGAGATTCTGGAAACCAAAATTCCAAAATATGTTCAGACAATAAAATATCATGTATACTACTCACCATCGTCCATAGTAATGATGAGGTAGGCAAGTATAAGATATTAATCATGTTAATATAGAAATGGTCAGCCTCAAGGAAATCAATTTTAGAACCAAAAACTAACCATGTTATGCACGACTGAAACAAAAATTTAAGTGGAGACAACAAAGAAAAGACACTACAAGAATGACTGTGTGTCAAACACTAACATTCTCCTCACACGTGGGCATGTGTCTATCATTCATATGGACATGAATTATTTGGTAAGATGAGGACTTTTGGATCAGAAATGACTGTGTAGGACTTTTGGATCAGAATCATTGAGTATTATTAACAATACTTTGTAAAATATATACAAACTTCAGCAACTTATACAGGGAAATAAAAACTAAATAATACCACCTATTAATTTCCTTAATCTCCTCTAATCCTATCCCTATAAATCAGGAGTAATATTCCCTAAAACAATTTAGTTGACTATTCTAGCACTCCCTCTCAAGTTAGATCATGGATGTTGATCATGTCCAACTTGCTCATATAATTCTCAAATACAAGTTTATGTAACCCCTTGGTCAATACATCTACTGCTTGAAGATTTTTCAGTACAAAGGTCAAACAAACGATCCCAACTTCCACCTTCTCTTTGATAAAATGCCTGTCAATTTTCACATGCTTTGATTTCTCATGTTGAACCGAGTTCAAGGCCATGCTTATAACGGCCTTGTTATCATAGTACAATTTTAGTGGTAAATCTAATCTAACATGAATTTCTTCCAATACCCATTTCAGCCAAATTTCTTCTAGCATACCTTGAGCTAGTGCTCTTAGTTCTGATTCAGCACTACTTTTGGAGACAACCCTTTGCATCTAACTCTTCTGTTGGGCCTCCCAACATGTGGGGCCACGTATACAAGCGAAGGCCCAATAGAAATACCCAGGAACAAGGACAGAGTGGGAAAAACATAATGCATAATGAAACCTGACACTATTAGGTAGTGGAAGAGTAAAAAAAGGGTGGGGGAGTCACAGAGAAGCGGGGGGGAGTAGTATCGTCTTTGGAGAGAGGGCTTGGTCTCTCGAAAACCAGGTTGTTTGAGGGTCTCTCTCTTGTTTTCTGTTCTTATTTGATGTGTGGAATAGGAACTAAAGTAAGGTTGATTAGTGAGTGTATTCTCTACATTATCCCTTCGTAATAAAGGATACCAGTGAATTATTCATCATTTTTCTGTCATTAATTTCTTTAAATAGCTGTTATTAGTGCTGGTCCTATCATTTTCTTCCAAGTGACCAGATTGCCTAACACAAATGAACAACAGCCAGAAGAAAATCTCCTATCTGGGTGGTGTCCACCCCAATCTACATCAATGTAGACCCTTGGTTCTTCGTTCATGCTTTTGAAAAAACGAGCCCCTTCCAAGAGTACCCTTGAAGTATCTAAGAGTCCTGTAGGCTACTTCCATGCATTTTTCCTTTGGCTCAAACATATACTAACTAGCCATACTCACTGCAAAGGCTATGTCAGGTCTGGTGTAAGAGAGGGAGATGCCATTCCCAATAAGTCTCTCATATCTTTCTTTATTAGCTGGTTCTTCTTTCTCCCTATCCTCTTCATCCTTAACTGGTTCGATTTCTCCATCAAAATTTTCCTCTTTTTTCTTGGAGTTCTGTTTCTTCTTTGGAAAAGCAATAGGTGTTTCAATAGGTTTACACCCTATCATACCTGTCTTCTTTAAGAGAACAAGTATACAATTTCATTGAGTTACATAAATTCCCTACTTTGATCTTGCAACTTCCATCCCCAAGAAGTAATTCAAATTTCCAAGGTCCTTCACCTTAAACTCTTGCCCCAACGCAGCCTTTATTCTCATTATCTCTTCACTATGGTCACCAGAGATAATTATATCATCAACATACACAATGAGAATACATCTCTTACCTCCCTCCACTTTGATGAACATGGTGTAATCCAATAGTCCTTGCTTGTAGCCTTGTGACTTTAGGACTCATGAGAATCTATCAAACCACACCTTTGGTGATTACTTCAATGCATACAAGGATTTCTTCAATTTGCACACCTAATCATTTTTTCTTTTATCAAAATCAAGGGGTAAAGCCATATAGACTTCCTCTTTCAAGTCTTTATTCAAAAAAACATTTTTTATGTCCAGCTAGTGCAACAACCAACCAAGATTTGCTACTATAGATAACAATACTCTAATAGTGGTTAACTTGGCCACTGGTGGAAAAGTTTCTTTATAGTCGATTCCATAAGTTTGTCCTCTTGCCACCAACTTAGCCTTTAGCTTATCAAGATTTCCATTAACCTTGTATTTTTGGGTAAACACCCAGTTGCAACTCACAATCTTCTTGTTCCTCAGCTTCTTCACAATTTCTCAAGTTCCATTTTCCTCCAATGCTCTCATTTCTTGCAAGATAGCTTCTTCACATCTTGGTGATCGTAGAGCTTCTTGGATGCTATTAGGAATGCTTACACCATCTATATTAGTAATGAAAGCTTGGTAGGATGGAGATAAGGCTTCAGAGGACAAATATTTCTAAATTGGGAGTTGTATACAAGACCAAGGTTTTTTCCTAAGGGAAATTGGCAAATTCAAATCATTCTTTGGTTCCTCTAGGACCTTCCCTATACAAGAGGTTTCATTAACCGTCTCTATGTTGGCTCCATGTTCTTCTTCAAACCTTTCTTCCACTGAATCTTTCACCGGTTCTAATTCAGATACTGCCTCAAGCTTGAGAGCTTTTGTACCATAATTCATCTTCCACGTGTATACTATGGTCTCCTTTCCTATGGTACTAATGTCCCTATCTCCCCTAACACCTGCATTTTCTTTTGCTTCTAGCATAAAAGAGACAAACACTGGTTCAAGAGGAGTGGGATTAAGAGTAGCAATAAGAGGAAACAACAACTATAATTCACTCCAACTCTCCCCCTAAATTGAAAGAGGATAAAAGGGTTCATGTTTGGAGAAAGTAACATCATGACTAACAAATAGATTCTTAGAGGAAGGATCGAAGCATTTGTAAAACCTTTGGAGAGGTAGAATAACCAATGAACACACACTTAACGACCTAGGGTTCAAGTTCGTAGAGAAACACAGATGAACAAAGGCTACACAGCCAAAAACTTTCAACGAGAGAGATTCATTTCAAGATTTTTGAGTGAGTATGTTTGTGAGAATGGTTAAAATTAATATTTAATGCATTTTATTAGAGATTTATTCCTTAAATATAGGGATATTATTAGATGGAATCATGGGAGTTAATATTTTTATTATTGATTTGATTTTATTCCCCACATAGATTTTATTTGTAAACTGTATGTATGTAGTGTGCATCTGTGAATAAAATGTAAGTCTTGTCTAATTCAAAAACACACAATGTTTCACAAAGATGATCTAGTGGAGTAGTATAAGATAAAATCTTGCTTGGCATACGATTTATGAGGTAAGTGGCAATGAGGATGGCATCACCCTGAAAGAATTTTGGCATGTGGATAGTAAACATAAGGGCATGAGCAACATCAAGTAAGAGTGTGTTTCTACGTTCGACAATCCCATTTTGTTAACGGCTATTTGCACAAGAGGTTTTATGAACTATGCCTCAAGATTTCATAAACACACTCAGAGACTTATTTAGGTGTTGAATTGGTTAAGAATCAGGGTGAAAAATTCAATGAATATCGAGGCCATGTCAGATATATCTTTTATCAAGTATACCCAACATACAAGAGTATGATCATCTATGAAGGTAACAAACCACTTTGTGTGATTCAATTTGGAACTTGCAAAGGACCCCACACATCATCACTATGAATGATAGAAAATGGCTTAGAAACCTTGTACTCAGAGCACGGAAAAGGAGAACAATCGTGTTTAGCCAATTCACCAGTACCACTATGAAAACTAGAAAATTTATTTGATGAGAAATGAGGAAACAAATGACTCAAGTACTAAATTTTGAGATGACTCATTCTTTTATGCCATAACAAAATATCATTATTCTCAGGGGTGGACACAAGATTACACTAGACTCGAGACCAAAGATTACCCATGGTTGACTTGTCAAGGTAGTAAAGCCCATCACACTACTTAGCATTGCTAATCATCTTCCCTAATGAGAAATCCTAAAAAATACAGTGAGTGGGAAAAAAAATGAGCATTACAATGAAATTGTTTAGTCAACTTGCTAGTAAACAGTAAATTACAAGCTAGATAGGCAACATGAAGCACAAAAATCCAATCATAAAAACTCATAAATAGTGATGCTTCCCTTGCCAACAATAGTAAAAGAGGTACCATTTGTAGTATCAATTTTCTCATGTCCACCATACAAAAAAGTAAGATGTGAATAATGTGGAATCCGCAGTCATGTGATCTAAGGATCTAAAGTCAACAATCCGTTTGGATTTATGGAAACTGGTATTTAAAGCATAGTAATTATTACCTTGCTTAGACACAAAAGCAGTGTAGGGCACTTGGGATAACTATCTAGATTACTGTAGGGCGTTAAGCATCTCCAAGAGCTTAGTTAACTACTCCTTGTCAAGTGTGGGCACAGAACCTGAATTTTCTTAGGTAGTTTCAATAGTAGCTTGATACCCACGAACCTTCCCTTTATGTATTTTCCAATCAGCAAGCTTACCATGTAAGTCCAAACACTTGTCCTTAAAGTGGCCAGTCTTTTTACAATAGTCACAAAAGATTTTCCCTTTTGTCTCCTTTGGCCCTTGATCAAAGCTCCTGCTTGCCAAAGTAGAAGATTCAAATGAAGAAGAGACTGAGATGGGTTCAATTAGCATCACCTTTTGGGGAGAAGCCTCCTTACAAACTTCTACAAATGCATCACGGGCTAAAGGTAATAGAGAGCAAGCCAAGATTCTGCTATGAACATCATCTAATGAATTATCAATCCCCGCCAAGAACTGAAACACCCGTTCATCCTAAATACGTCTTTTACACCTCATTGCATCACAAGCACAGGACCACTCCTTTTCTGCATTCAGGTCATTCTCCTGCCATACTACAACCAACTCCAACCAGAATTCGTTAAGCTCTCGCTCACCTTGTTTAATCTGCCATCACCTTGTTTTTAGATCATAGATTCAAAAAGCATCTTCACCATCCAAGTAAGATTCTGTAAAAGCATCCCAGATATCTTTCGTCGCTAGGAGGAACATGAAGGAGCACCAAATTTGCAAAGTCATGGCATTGACCAACCATAAAGCTACCATCAAGTTCTCAACTTCCCACTTCATCATAGCCTTAGTATCTAAACCATCGAGAACTTTAGAAGTGTCGATGATAAAGCCCAGCTTACCTCAACCTCTAATGGCTAGCCTTATGGCTTGAGCCCACTCACAATAATTGCTGCCGTTAAACTTGTCAAAGACGAGAGGCATACAACACCCTTCAACAAAACTCAACCTATACCATCTGGGTGCGTTTGGGAGTCATTAGTGCCAAAACCTTTAGGTGAAGTTCGTGGGCTGCTAGATTGTGGCTCCCACTTCAATTGATCATCTCTGTTTGAATTTTCTAGGTCAGATTTGACTTGCTCTGATAGAATTTAGTACTTTTGGATCAAAATTTTTGTGTATTATTCACAATACTATGTAAAATATATATAGACTTCAACGACTTATACAGGGAAATAAAAATCAGAAATAAAAATCAAATAATATCACCTATTAATTTCCTTAATCTCCTCTAATTCTATCCCTACAAATTAGGAGTAATATTCCCTAAAATAAGTTGGTTGACCGTTCTCACAATTTAACATTACATATAATCTAGTAAGAGCCATTTGGCTTATTAACAATAATTGGCTTATCTTGGATTTCATGCATAACATGGAAAATAATGTCAGTTTTAAAAATTACTCTCCCCTAATTTTTTCCCAATTTTGATATGACAAACTAGAAGCCTCATCTTGATGTAATAATAAGAGTTCTTATGTTATTTCACTATACTTTGAATTATTTGGTGGGTATTGATGAAGATATAAGCAAGAGCACACCGTTAAAAATTGGCTTGTGATTATAAACATTCATGTCATTGAAGTAGCAGAAGAACAACTAGTGGCAACCTAGTGTGAGACTAGGTCAAATTTGCAACAAATTATATGACATCCTGATGGCAACAAATTTGCAAGACTCACTCTAACCACTAGGTCAAAACCCTTGCAGGTAGCCCTTCCTCTAAAGTTTGGTCTAACTATTAATACCAATTAATATACATCTAACAAAGTATGGGGAACCTAACCTTAAAAACCAACATGCTAGAGGAAAAAAACTATTCCAACTAAGTACCACAAGACTTACTTGAGGCTACTTGAAGACAACACATAGTTTAACATCTTATTTGGAACATGACAATATAAAATACATGTGTAAACACACACATATAATTCCACATGTTCTATTCTTCAAAAGATCACAAAAGTAAAGCTTAAAAATTTAGGATAAATATACGAAATATGCTAAATATTTGATGAGAAAGAGCCTTAACATTGTACCCTTAGTAGTCACAACATTGAGAGTTGAGTTGAGTTATGCATTTTGTCATCTATCATACAAGCTAAAAAGCTCGATAAAATGCATATATGTGAAAGGTACAATCACCAATATATGTTCTTTTTATTATAAGGTTTCTCTCATTTTTCAATGTTGTTTGAAATAAAGAAGATAAGCAAGATTATCAAAATTTCTAGACAAAGAATAGGAATAGTTTTATAATCTCAATCCTATGGAACTCTATAACCCTTAACTTGTAGTTTTCTTGACACAAGTATTATTATGAGCCAAAAACTTCATCAAAGTGAGTGATATCTTGGTAAGTTAAATCTAAATTCCACTTTTATAAAATAATGAGTCATTTAACATGAAATTCAAGCACCTAGAACTTATCGTGAATTCTTGCATTATGTTAATGATTAAAACAGCAGCAACACTAGTAATTTGTGTCGAAAGGAGAAAAAATGAAGAACCAATTAGTAACAATAGGGACCTGTTTGGTTGTTGAGGTGAATGAGGGGGTGTTTCTGCTCCAACTTTACCCAAACCTAAAAGCCATCAATTAATATTGAATAAAAACTTGTCAAAGTAACAGATAATATGAGAAACATTTGATAAACGTTAGGAAAATAACACTGCATTCATATATAAATAAATATGCCAGCAGTCTTGTGGGATTTTGATAGGAAAAATATGATGTTCATTCATGATAATGATAGTATGATACAAGAAAGTAGTTATACACTAAGCTAGGAAACAAGAGAATAAAGACTAATAAATTCTAATAAATCCTATAACTCCTAAAAATCAGATAAGAATATTTACAATAAATACAATATCTCCACACTCCCCCTCAAGTTTGATCATAAATGTTAATCATGTCCAACTTGCTTATGCAACTTTCACATGCGGCCTTATGTAACTGCTTAGTCAAAACATCTGTAGCTTGAAGGTTCGTAGGCAAATAGATCAAACATATGATTTCATCTTCCACTTTTTCTCTAATGAAATGCTTATCCACTTCCACATGTTTTGATTTCTCATGTTGAACAGGATTTAGGGCCACGCTTATGGCTACCTTATTGTCACAGTAGAGTTTTAAGGGTGAGTCCACTTCAACATGTATCTCTTCCAGGATTCGTTTCAGCCATAATTCTTCCATTATTTCTTAAGCCAACGCTCTTAATTCGGACTTAGCACTGCTCTTAGAAACAACTCTATTTTTGACTCTTCCAGGTAACCAAATTCCCCCAAACAAAGGAACAATACTCAAAGGTTGATCTCCTATCAAGATGAGTTCCTCCCCAATCTGCATTTATGTAGACCTCTATGATTCTCTGTTCTTCTTTCAAGAAGAACAACCCTTTACCAGCAATACTTTTTAGATGCTTCAAAATCCTGTAAGCTGCTTCATAATGCTTCTTCTTTGGTTCAGACATGTATTGGCTAGCCACACTTACTGCAAAGGCAATATTCGATTTTGTATGGGAAAGGTAAATCAACTTCCTAACAAATCTCTGATATCTTTCTTTATCAGTGGCCTCTTCTTTTTTATTGTCTTCTTCACCCTCATCATCAGAATCGCCATCTTCTTTTGACTCTTATTCTTCTTAGGCTTCTTTTTCTTCAAAACCACAATAGGAGTTTCACGTGCCTACAGCCCAACATACCTATTTCTTCCAAAAGATCAAGTATATACTTCCTTTGAGATACATAAATACTTTTCCTTGACCTTGCAACTTCCATCCCAAGGAAGTATTTCAAGACACTGAGGTCTTTTACCTCGAATTCTTTTCCCAGAGCAATGTTTGAGGTCTTTTACCTTGAATTCTTTTCCCAAAGCAACGTTTAGTCTTGTGATTTCCTCACGATAGTCCCCCTGTGAGAATAATGTCATCAACATATACAATAAGGATGCACCTTTTATCTCCCTCAATTATAACAAATATTGTATGGTCTGACAAGCCCTACTTGCATCCTTCTAGCTTGAGAACCTTTGAGAATCTATCAAAACATGCCGTAGGAGACTGCTTTAAGCCATACAAAGATTTCTTCAACCTACATACTTGATCACCTCTGCCTCTATCAAATCCTGGTGGTAGAGTCATATAAACTTCTTTTAGTTCTCCATTTATGAAGGCATTCTTGATGTCAAGTTGATGAAGTGGCCATTCTAAGTTAGCTGTCATAGATAATAGAACTTTGATGGTATTTAATTTTGCCACTGGTGCAAAAGTCTCTTTGTAGTCAATACCATATGCCTGAGTAAACCCTCTCGCCACTAGACGTGCTTTTAACTTGTCAAGAGTGCCATTGGCCTTGTACTTTGGGGTAAAAACCCACTTGCAGCTTACAAGCTTCTTGCCACTCGGCCTTGAAACAATCTCCCATGTTCCATTCTTCTTTAGGGCTCCCATTTCTTCCATGATTGCATTTCTCCATTCTGGTATTTTCAATGCCTCTTTGATCATGTTGGGAACTACAATTTTATCCAAACTGGTGACAAAAGGCTGATAACTTGGAGAAAGAGCCTTGTAGGACATGTGCTTCTGTATTGATGTAAGGTACAAGAGCGAGGTTGTTTTTTGAAAGCAATAGGTAAATCAACATCAAATTGATCACTCACCTGTTCAGGACTTTACTGAGCAGTTCAAGAGCTATCACTAGTTCTGACTCCTTTGGTGCTTCAGACACAAAGTACTCTCCTTCCTTGGATTTATGCTCTCGTGAATAAACCAACAAGTCTTTGTCTTTTTGCTTTTCTACATCTCCCCCTGATGATGATTTTTCCTTTATGACTGGCACAGGGGATGGTGATGAGGGTTCTAATGGTTCTGATAAGGGTTTTGATGGTTCTGGTAATTATGGTGATGGTGACTCTGCTGGTATATACCAAGAATAAAGGAGCACATGTTCTTTGTTAATCTCTTGTTCCCAAGTCTGAGATTTACCTATACTCTCCCCTTGAATTGAAGAATTGGGATAAAAAGGCATGTCTTCATGAAAAGTAACACCAAGACTCACAAACATGTGTTTGGAAATAGGATCAAAACATTTATATCCCTTTTGAATAGGGGAATAACTAAGAAATATGCATTTTGCAGCATGAGGTCCAAGTTTATTGGTTTGGTAGATGTGGACAAAGGCTATGCACCTAAACACATAAAGAGGAATGTTGGTTTCAATATGAGATGTAGAAAAAACACTTTGCAATCTTTGAAGAGGGGTGTCAAAGGACAAAATACGACTGGGCATTCGATTAATAAGGTAGGTGACAGTTAGGATGGCATCCCCCCAATAAAACTTGAACATTATGGGTGAACAAGAGGACCCTAAAAACTTCAAGAATATGTCAATTATTTCTTTCTGCAATCGCATTTAGTTAGGGTGTATAAGCACAATTGCTTCGATGGACAATCTCATGCTCATGGAGGAAGGTACTCAAGACTTGGTTGAAATATTTAGTACCATTGTTGGTGTGAAGAACTTGGATGTTTGTGTTGAACTGGGTTTTTGTCATGGTAAAGAAATTGATAAACATGGATGCACTCTCAGACTTGTCTTTTAAGAGATATACCCAGCAAACACAAGAATGATCATCAATGAAGGTAATGAACCACTTTGATTTGGTGTGGTTTGGGATACAAGATAGACCACACAAATCACTATGTATGGTAACAAACGGTTTGGTGGGTGTATACGGTGCTCTAGGAAACGATGTTCGATAGTGCTTTTCTAGTTCACACACTTCACATTTGACATTACGGTTAGTAAGTCAAAGGTTTGGGAATAAACGAGATAAGTAATAGAAATTAGGATGACTCATTCTCTTGTGTCATCACAAAATATCCGCACAGAATATCTGCATTTTTAGAGGTCAACGTAGAGTTACATATACTAGTAGCTTGATGGTGACTCACTCTAGCACTTTCAAGAAAGTAGAGTCCCTCACATTCATTAGCACGTCCAATCACCACCCCCAATGATAGATCCTAAAAGACACAATGGGTTGGAAGAAAATTAGCTCAACATTTAGATTGCTTTGTCAATTGGCTAACAGACAACAAATTGCATGCTAATTTCAGCACATGAAGAACCGATTCTAGAGTGATAGGAGTAAGAGACCCATCTACAATTTTGACTTTCAAATTTCCAGCAAATGGAGTATATGTAGAGAATAATCGGTGGTTATCGGTCATGTGATCCGATGCTCCAGAGTCAATGATCCACAAAGTTTCAACTCTTGATGTTTTCAAGGCTTGAAGAAAATTACCCCTTTGTGCCAGGAAAACAGAGACTGACTTTGAAATCTGATTTACCCATACTGCATCAGATTCAACAATTTTAGATGGCAGTTATGCATGCCTCATCACCCATTGTCGAAAACTCAGGAAAACGAGTACAAGTCAAATCAATAAGGCCAAGACACACTACTTCTAGTATTAGAAGCCCTATTTCCTTTAAGAACTTCGGGGTATTTGCATTCTCTAGGTCTGGTTTGTTTTGACAAGAAACACAATCAACAAACAAGATGAAGACTCGAAGTACCCACAACTGAAAAACACTGGGACTGAGCCGGAAATGGTCCTTCATTGCCAGAAAATGTCGTTGTTGTTGAAAAACACCCACCACGCGCCACCACGCACTCGATCTCTCTCTCTCTCTCTCTCTCTCTCTGACGCAGAATGGATGATTGGCACGTGTGACAGCCACACGCCATTGACGGGCACCAGACTTTTGGGTTGCACTAAAGGACCAGGTCTCTAGTCCTTCATTGGCCAGCAGTGAGGTCCAACAACACCTCTCGTCCTCCATTAAGGTTTCAGCCATACGAGTATTCCAAGATAGACACTGTTCTATGCGACAGAAAAACCCTAATTAGGGTTTTAATCTAACTAGCTCTGATGCCATGTGCGATTTTGAGAGGAAAAATATGATTTTCATTCATGATAATGATAGTATGATACAAGAGAGTATTTATGCACTAAGCTAAGAGACAAGGGAATAAAAACTAATAACTTCTAATAAATCCTATAACTCCTAACAATCAGCTAAGAACATTTACAATAAATATAATATCTCCACAAATCTCTTAAGAAAAACACCCATGAGGCTAGAAATGTTCAAGACATGATTATCAAAACTGCAAGTTTATTTGAGCTATTGAAGGCAAAATTAGAATCATCAAGATGTAGAGTCCCCAAAAAAACAAAAAAAGTCTTGGATTAACTTTTGGTTTTATTCTTGCATTTGAATTTCATTTCATAACAAATTTCAGCATTTCTTTACTTTCCAATATAGCATCCATTAATAAAATATGGAGAATAGCATCTCTGATTTCCCCCAAATGCAAAAGAACAATATGCTTACAAGCTATTGATAAATGACCCTACTAAGCAATCTAAAATGGGAGGAGGTTTAATTCGAGTACAAAACCTTCAAGTGAAAAGGCAACATGGTCTTCAAAGGTAGGGTGCTCTTCCACAATGATTTTTGGTCCATCATCATAAAGCAAATCAATAACAGATAATCCCACATCTGACAACATGGATCAAGAGGTCAAAATCTAAGTAGTTAGAAGGTATTCAGTCTGATGACAATTAAAATAAAAGGGGGAAATTAAGGGCCATTGTCCCAAAACCAAAAGTACTAACAAATAATATCCATCTTTAATTGAAAAGTTATGAAAAGAAATAAAAGTAAAATCCTAGGCAAAATGAAGTCAACAAAATAAGGGTGATGAACAACTGCAATCTGATACTTACATTTTATTTATTTTTTTTCATTTTGGCAGAGTAATCTGCTACTTACATTCATCATTCATCGTCTTTGAGTTGGTTGATGTACAAGGTATCCTATTGAGACCACCATTCTGATAATTAGGAGCACATACTAAAACCCTGAAAAGCAATATATAAATTAATGCTTCAAATGGATAGCATGCAACTTGGGGCAAAAAAAAAAACTCAATTAAGTTATTGTTGAGGTTCAATGGCCTAAAAATTTGTATTTCAACCTTTTCTTTCCAGAATATGCACAAAGTCTACAATAATTCTTCCCCTACATGGTCCTATCTTTTTACTCATCTCCCAAAATATTAACAAAATCACAAAGAGGGAGAGGGAGAGAGAGAGAAGAAGGTAGTCAAAAGGTTAGTAAGTCAGTCTCAACAGCAACAATACAATCTATGTTATGTTTAATATACACTCATAACCTCATCAAGAAACCTTTCTCTATATACTCACTTCAAGATGCGTTTGAAGCAATAATTTATAGAATCAATCACAGCATATATATAAATATATATTGTTAAAATGTGTAGTTAAATTGTGTAAATTTATTTTATTTCTTTAATAGATAAATATTAGTTAGTGGTTAGAGGTTAAGATAGCATTTATTACTCTGTGGATATACTCTTATAAATATCACAACCAGCTCTTGTAAATTGTGTGAGTGAAATAATGAAGAGTATTTTTTCACCAAATTTGTCTTGGTATTAGAGCCTATCTGAGGGTTAGAGTTTTTTAGATTGGGTTCATTTTTGTGTTAGGATTCAACCTGTGCATTAGGGTTCTGAACAATCAGACCCACTATTGCCGAAAACCATTTAGCCCAGACCATCACCTCCGCCTACAGCTGACTGAGACCGGCCAAACCCAGAAGTCCAACTACCGTCTACCACCACGCACCGCTTGATCGAATCGGCCCTATGCTGCTTTTTTGGCACGAGAGCACGTCTAGGCTTCATTTGGTCTCCAATCACCTCCGTTCTACTCGAAATCTCCTTCTCTCCTTGTTTTAGTCATGTCCAACAAAAAAAAACACGTCTGCAATACTGTGTCTTCCTTATTTGGGGTTTCTGGGGAATTGCCAAGTATTCCAGTTGCTTATCGATTGATTAGAGCTAACTTTCTAGCTTGGTCTTAGTATGTTTGTACCTTTTTAAGGGGCCGAGGGAAGCTTAGTCATTTACTTGGGACTGGTCCTAAGCCAGGAGAACCCAAGTTCAACGCTTGAGATGAAGCTAACTCAATGGTAATCTATTGGCTGGGGCAATCTATAGCACCTGAAGTTAGTCGCATGTATTTGTTTCTGTCCTCGGCTAAGGAGTTTTAGGATACGGTGCACCAAACTTACTTGAAGGTAAAGGATGCTGCCCAAATTTATGAGATACGGACCAAGATTTCCAATGCCAAATAGGGCAGTAAATTTGTCACTGAATACTTTACCCTTATCAAGAGCTTGTGGCAAGAACTAAACCACTATCAGTGTATTACTTTGAAAGGTCCTGATGATACAACTACCTTTAAACGCTTCATTGAGAAGCAGAGAATTTTTGAGTATCTTGTTAGACTTAATTCAGAATGTAATCCTGTAAGAGTTCAAATTCTTGGTCAGGAAGAAGTTTTCCCTCTCAATGAGACCATTGCCATTGTATTAGCAGAAGAAAACCGTCGAGGAGTGATGATGGAAACTCCACCTGTGAAAAGCTCTGCCCTGGTTTCAAGGAATATGCTTCTCATTTTGTGAAAAATGAAAAACAAGGGGACTCTTCCAAGAAAGAACCTATTTGGTGCTCTCATTACAAGAAGCTGTGGCGCGCCAAGGAGAAGTGCTAGAAGCTGCATGGTAAGCCTCCAAATATGAAAAAGGGGCAATCTCATGTGGCCACTGATTTTACTAAGGAGAATTCTAATAAGACTGATCTTAAGGGGGAGATTGAGAAACTAAGATCTATGCTAGAGTCACTTGACAAGGCGACTTCTTCTAGTTCTAGTACAGATATATGTTCTTTGGGGTTCTCAGGTATCTCCTTTCAGCCTTTATTTGTCTTATTTTCGTCTGCATTTATTACCTCAAAACAAGATTTTCTTCATTCTTGGATTGTGGATTCTAGAGCCTCAAGCCATTTGACAAATTCCTCCAAGAATTTCATATCTTATAATTCATGTCCTAGTACTAGGAAAATCAAGTGGGATCATGGGTCTGTAGCTACTATGGCTAGTCAAGGGGATGTCAGATTGCGTGATAGTCTTATCCTAAAAAATGACTTGCATGTTCCTAAACTATGCACAAACCTTATCTCTGTGAAAAAACTTGCTAATAATTCTAATTGTTATCTCCCATTCTCTTCTCTCTCTTGTCTTTTTCAGGAGCAAGAGACAAATCAGATAACTGGACTTGCTGAAGAAAGAGATGGACTTTTTTTTTATGAGCCTAGTGAATGTAGTAGGATTCAAAGCTTGATGGCTTCCTTCTCTTCTCTAGAGCTGGAAAAATGGGCCGAGCCCGTCGGCTAGCCCGTTTAAGCCCGTATAAGAGTAGGGCCGGACTTGTAAATAGGACTCCAAAATAATAAATCGGGCTTAAACGAGCTGGCCCGTTTAAGCCCGTTTAATCTAGGGCTTAAAAGGGTTGGCCCTACAGGGCCGAGGGCCAGCCCGTTTAAGCCCACATATGTATTTTTTTAATTAATTCTCATAATTTTTACTCTTTTTACATTTGAAAAAAAAAATTAAACTAAATGTTACTCCACATCACATGTTAGCCTATATTTATTGAGGATGGAAGGTAAAAAAGAAGAAGGAAAAATAGCAATGAAGAATCACTGATCAAAAATTATACCAGTCAAAGATCACTTGTTGTCAAAATTCGAGTAGATACTTGTGAATTCGAGTTAGCCTTTATCAATAAATATTCATTTAGATTTTAATAACAACTCATTTTAAATTAACAATAGTTCATTGTATCTTGTTTTTCATTCAGGTTTTAACAATAATTGATTCTTAATTGATATAAATTTCATACAGAAATCCTTGGCTGCTATTTTCTAAAAAAAATACAACCTTAAATCCCCTAATTCATCTAAATCCATGATAATGATTCATTCAGTTCAACATTTACTCTTCTAATTTTGATTGGGTGTTTGTCGGCTTAACCGATCTATTACTTATTGCATTGTTATTATTTTATGTGTTTTTAGTTCACTTAGATGTTATTTAGTTAGTTTTTTTATATCTTTTTTGATTGAGTATTATATTAGAATGAAGTAATTTTTTGTTTGATTAAAAAATTTAAAAAAAATAAAAATGGTTAAAAGGGCCTAAAGCCCGCAGGGCCGGCCCTAAGCCAGTCATGTCAAGGGCCGGGCTTCGAAAATCAGGGTCCTAGAGGAAAGTCGGGCTTAAAAGGCTGGCCCTTTTAAGGCCCGAGCCCTTCAAGGGCTGGCCCTACAGGGCCGGGCCGGCCCTTTTTACCAGCTCTACTCTTCTCAGTCAAAAAGAGTCAAGTCTAAAAAAGACCAGATTTGGCTTTATCATCGTCGTTTGGGTCACCCTTTGTTTAATGTTTTGAAAGCTATGTTTCCTTCTTAGTTTAAAGATGTACCTGTTGAGTCCTTTCATTGTGATGTTTGTGAGCTTGCAAAACATAAACGATCTTCAAATCCTACGAGTAATAAAAGAACTTCGGCTCCTTTTAGCCTGATTCATAGTGACATTTAGGGTCCCTCTAGTGTCCCTAATATTATCGGGTCTCGATGGTTTGTGTCATTTATTGATGATTGTACCTGTGTAATAGATTTGTTTGCTAAAACAAAAATTTGATGTTAATAGCATTTTTCCCACCTTTTATAGCATAATTAAAACTCAATTTGTAGTTGGGATATTAAGGGTTAGGTCTGACAATGCAAAAGATTTTTTTAATCAATCATTGTCCATATTTTTTTGAGACACATGGAATTCTACATGAATCATCCTGTGTTAATACTCCCCAAAAAAATGGGGTGGCTAAGAGGAAAAATAATCATCTTCTTAATGTTACTAGAGCCTCATTATTTCAAACTAATGTGCCTAAGCAATATTGGGGAGAAGCTATTTAATTGCTACACACATGATTAACAAACTTCCAACCCTTGTCCTTAGTTCAAAAAGTCCTATTAATGTTCTTAATCAATTTTTCCCTAATTTTAATGCATCAAGTGGTCTTATAACTAGAATATTCAGATGTGTTGTCTTTAATCATGTGCATTCTCAAATGTGTGTTTGTTGGGTATTCCTCTACTCAAAAGAGGTACAAGTATTATCATCCGCCTTCTATGAAGTTTTTTGTGTCTGCTGATGTTACTTTTTTTGAATATAATTCTTATTTCAATACCCTCCTTGAAAGAGAGAGCCCTCTTAGTGAGGACCAAGGTCATGATCCTCTTGTCAACGAACTTCCTAGTTCCTTACCTAGTGAGACCTTGGAAGCACCATCAACTCCTAAATCTACTTGTCCACTACAGGTTTACAATCGAGAGAAGAAGAGAATGTCTCAACTCACACAAGTTCAATCATCTGAAACAGCTCTTGCTCAAACTCCTAAACACGTGCATGAAAATTGCGAGGTAACTCCTAATCTTCTTGAAAACACTAAAGTTTCTTCAAGTTCTCATAAGGTTTCTAATAGTTAGGATGTATCTGAAAATAATTATCAACGACTTGATTCTGATTTACCTATTGCTTTGAGAAAGGGGACCCACAGTTGTACTAAAACAATGCTTATACCCAATGTCTTTTATTCTTTCCTATGAGAAATTGTCTTGCAATCACAAAGCTTTCCTTGCTAGTCTTCATCCCATTTCAATACCACAGTCTGTATCTGAGGCATTAGCAAATGAAAATTAAGTTAAGGCAATGAAGGTTGAGATGGACGCACTTGAGAATAACAATACATGGGATCTTGTTCCATCACCAGAGGGAAAGAAGCTTGTTAAGTGTAAATGGGTCTTCACTCCTAAATACAATTTTGATGGTTCTTTAGACAAATATAAGGCCCGGCTTGTTACCAAAGGATATACTCAAATGTATGGGGTTAACTATGAAGAAACTTTTGCGTGTTGCGAAAATGAATACTTTCTATATTTTATTATCTTTAGCAGCTCTCTATGATTGCAAATTGCTGCAGTTTGATGTGAAGAATGCATTCTTACATGGTGACTTAAAGGAAAAGATTTTATATGGAGATTCCCTCTGGGTTTGATTCTCATTTTCCTCCTCATACTGTTTGCAAGCTTGAAAAGGCTTTGTACAATTTGAAACAATCACCCAAGGCATGGTTTGACAGGTTTTCAAAGGCCATGGTTGGCATGGGGTTCAAACAGAGTCAAAGTGATCACACTTTGTTCATCAAACATTCTTCCTTAGGGGGAGTGACAATTTTACTTATTTATGTTGATGACATCATGGTAATAGAGAGTGATTTAGAAGGGATTCAATCTCTGCGAAGTCAACTGATGAAAGAATTTCAAATGAAAGATTTAGGAAAGTTGAAATATTTCTTGGGCATTGAAGTGGCTCATTCTAAGCATGGCATCTTCATATCCCAATATAAATATATTCTTGACCTTCTCACTGAAACAGGAAAACTGGGGTGTAAACCTATGGACACTCCAATTGAATAGAATCATAGACTTTGTAAGGAAGGAAAACATCCTGGCAAGCTGAAGAAAAATCATAAGCCCAACAAACCTCCTCCTCTAGAGCCTTCTGTCAATAAGGAATTCTATCAAAGATTTGTTGGGAAATTGATTTACCTAGCTCATACTAGGCCAGACAATGCCTACGCAGTGAGCGTGGTAAGTCAATTTATGCATGATCCTAAAGAACCTCATCTACAAGCAGTTTATTAAATACCTAAGTATTTGAAGGGCACTCCAAGAAAAGGCATTTTGTTCAAGAGAGGGAAATGATTAACTATTAAAGCATACACGGATCCAGATCATAGAGGGGATATGGATCATAGAAGGTCTACATCAAGTTATTGTATGTTTCTTGGCTCAAATCTCATTACTTGTAGGAGTAAGAAGCAGGATGTAGACATGTAGTATCCAGATCTAGTGCTAAAGCTGAGCTTAGAGATATGGCACTTGGAATTTGTGAGTTGTTGTGAGCAAAGATAATTTTATCAGATTTGAGAATCAAATGGGAAGGTCCAATGAGACTTTATTGTGACAAGAAGTCAGCTATCAACATTAGTCATAATCCTACACAACATGATAGGACCAAGCATGTTGAAATTGATCGACATTTTATCAAAGAGAAGTTGGAAAGTGGTCTAATCTGTACCCCCTACATACCCTCTAGTGATCAATTGGCAAATATACTCACAAAGGGATTAACAAAAGAACATTTTCATACGTTAGCATGCAAGCTGGGAATGGATGACATCCACTCTCCAGCTTGACGGGGAGTGTTAAAATATATAGTTAAATTGTGTAAATTTATTTTATTTCTTTAATAGATTAGATATTAGTTGGTGGTTAGAAGTTAAGATAGCATTTATTACTCTCTATTGATATACTCTTCTAAATATCATAGCCAGCTCTTGTAAAATGTGTGAGTGAAATAATGAAAAGTATTTTTTCACCAAATTTGTCATATATATATATATATATATCCACAATGCAGCTACCTTTATGACCTATTCTGCCTATTTAACTGCTTTAGCATATATATAATACTCAGTGAAGAGTAATAAGGTAATATGCACTATGCACAATAAAATTCACATCAATTTAAATCATGCATTTGCTCACTTCTCTTGAGATGCATCTATCTGGCAGCCCAGTGGTTCTCCGACAACTACATTTGCCATACATTACAAATATCAATCACACATCACCTTTAAATGAAAAATTATGTGAGTATCCATTAAAGAGCATACTTGCTTCTTCAATTCTAGAAGATTCTAAATGAGTATCCATGCTGGTAAATACTGTTGGCTGATTTTTCAAGATATTGCTTGGCATTGTAGAAACATTGACCTCTGCATCTGCATTCCCTTATAATTGTACAAGCAAAATAGAAAAGAAGTAAAAGATTAAATCTCGGTAAATAAAGATTAGAAAGAAAACAAACTTATAAGAACACAGCCTTCAAACTAAAAGCAACAAGAGGTAATGATAATTACATTGTTTTGCAAGGCTTCCTAAGCGCTAATAAAGGAATTTCCCAACCAGTTTGGCACAGCTTTCCTCTATGAAGACTATCAAAATATGAACTAGATTTGAGCATTTCCAAGAGGTATTAAGAATTCAAAAACTTGCTTGTGGTGCAACAAAAGTAAAGGGCATCAGTGTTGTTGTGTATAATATCGGTACAAACATAGGATAAGGGGTCAATACTGTTCAGACTACAGTTGAGCCTTTCATTCATTTATCTTTGTCAGTCCCTTACCTTTCTCCCAAACTTCTGTTTTCCCTATTTTCTCAACAAGTATAATGACCTATTTAACAAAGCAAGCATGCACTTGAGCACAGTAGAAGTATCAATTCTTCAAACATAATCAAAAAAAAAAACAACAAAAGTCAAATAGTGCGTATTATTTTAGGGGATATAACTTTGGGAAGAGTATAGATGAAGTGAAAACCTTGACTGATATAAGTAATCTCGTTTGCTTCAAACTTACAATTCAAAACTTATTCTCTTTGTTGGGGACCACCAGAGCAGAATAGAGTTAGTTCAAATTAAATGTAAGGTTTTCAACAATGAGTCAGTGGTCCTTTTGGGAGAAGCACTATAAGTCATGACTGTTATACGGAAAGAATATCAGCCACTTACCTTTCACACAGGGAGAATAACATTCCTGAGCATTTGTGGACAAGTTTAGCAAATTGAGAATGTCCAGAGACCGATGTTCCTTCAGGTACTGCCCACTTATACCTAACACATCAGAACTGCTCTCTGACCCCATGATCTGCAGATTTTGTTGTTGGCGTTTCCTCTGTTCAAAATATTGCTTTTGCCTAGATGAAACAAGAAGTATACTTAAATTACAGTGTTAATTCTCCAAATTTCAGCAAAACCTTCTCCCCAGTTTCATTTCACCAAACCCAAGGGAGTAACTAGAAATTCAATAGAGGTCATCTTTGAGGAAATCATTTTAGAGCAGCAGATTTATTCTTTTACCTTTTTTGCGTAGACTTCCTTGACTAATATTTCCCGTTTCAGCATAAGAGATATCATGCACCAAATAAAATGTTTGGACATCAGAACAAAATCCCAATCAGTATCAAGTTTCTTGGTTCAAATGATTTGCATATTTTGATGGCATGTCAAAAATACACGACATACTAGCATTCTTATGCAACGTCTCTTTCTCTCTGTTTAGAATGGAAAATTAAATGTTGGTAAATCAGCCCATGCATGACCACTAACAAGCCACTAATTTATCCACCAAAAACAAGAAGGGGATAATAATATGGTATTGTTAACTTGAGATTAAGTTTTAAGCACATAGTTTCTGCAGCATGATATAACATCTCACCAGACTAGAGCACAAGGACATGATGGAAGCTATCAGAAAATCAAGGTTCAGAAGACTTCCCAAATTTTGGGGCATTCCAAGAAACAAATAGCCATAGGCAAGTAGACTGCGTTTTTTTATCCCCAGCATTTAATGGATTGTCCAATGGGATATCATTAGTGTTATAAAATAAAAAGCAATTCGGATAGTTTCAATTCTAACGCATCATATTAAATTTTCTGTGAATTAACATGAAAACCAAAACCACAATCCAACTCACTGTCGTCACTTTCCGCCTTGAACCTCCCATCCATTGCAACATCGTGAAGATTACAATCTGCAGCTTCACACCAAAAAATCAAAGAATCACGAAAAGTAAACTCGATAATAAACATTGTTTCAGTTACAATGAAAATTCAACGAGTTTGCGTCATTCTTAGTTGTTAATTCTGATTGCAATGACGTTTACTGCCAACATCAAAACATACGCATTGAAGTTTCCAGAATCCAAGAAGAAACTACGAATCCGAAATTTAAGTGTAAAAAGCAGTACCTATTCAGATAATGACGATTTCATCAAAGGAAAAAAAAACAAAGAATCGGAGCAATGTTAAGAAACAGAAATACTCGAACATGTAAATATTACATTAAAACTCAACAGAAAGCATTGCCCTTGAGAAATTAAAGCTTTTTCGGCGCAAAGCGTGAAATCGGAGAGAGTTTGCAAATACGGATTGAAGCTAGGAGGAATTGACGGAGAAGGCCCGCACTCACCAGAGTCTCGGTCTTCGACCTTAGCGGAAGATGATGGAGGAAAGCGAAAGCCGGATGAAATAGTTACTGCTTCTGAGAATTGTGGACACAAACTGGTATTCCAAAGCAATTTCAACTTCGGAAATGCAACACAGAACGGAAGAGTCACACACTCTGTTCGCTCGCTTTTGCCGCTTCAGCTAAGCATTTCAATTGGGGAAAAACAACGAAAATGAAAATGAAAATACACCCCACAAACACAAGAATATCTTCTTATTTTTCAAGGGGCGAAATGTCTAATTTAGCATGAATATATTTTTTTCAATATTTTTCGGTTGTGATCTATTTATAACATATGTCAAGGATATCATAGTACCCTTTGTCTATAATTAAATGAAATATTAAGTTTTCATTATTAAATAAATAATAATGATATATTCATCATGACGAATCATATTGAGATTAATTTAATCTGCATAATAATCAATGTTTTATATATAAATAGCAAGGTAATTTGCTTAAAATTTCAAAGTTCAAAGTTTAAGACGCTATTCGCATTATAGTTTAAAGTTTATGGCGCTAATTAATTGAGATCCATGATGAATAGTAATGATGAACAATAACAACGTTAAAAAAATAATGATAAAGTTTAATTTGCTATGAATTTAAAAATTTAAAGTTTATTTTGCACATTTTAAAAATTTAAAGTCTAAAGCACTTAAAAATTCAGGATCTATTTTGCTCATTAACCCTTTTTTAATTTGATTTTCATATAATAAAAGTTTATACTGAACTTATAATAAAAATTAAAAAAAAAAGTTGCAGGAACTATAATTAAAAATGCTTGTAAATATGAGACTCATAAAAAAAAAAAATATGTATGAAATCTATTATTTTTGATAAATTTAGGACATTTATCATTTGCTACTTGTATTTTGTATATAAATAAGATAATTAATTATATATAACATACAAATTTAAATAATAAATATAAAATAAAATATTTTATAATTTAAATTAATCAACTTATTCCCATTCACTTTTATATATAAAAAAATTTAATCAATTTACACAGTTTAAAAAATTAGTTAATCCTAATAATTATGTCTAAAATTAAAAAGTTTGGATTAAGATATAATTGAATTAACATTTTTAATGAAGAGTAATTAGGAAAAGATATCATAAACACTTTTGAAAAATTATTTTTTTGCTTATAAAAAATAACAACAAACCATATGAACACTAGTTTGTTACCCCGTGCAATGCATGGATGTTAAATAAGGAGCAAACAAATTTTAATATTTTTTAAATTATTTTTAAGTAGATATAATTTTGAAAAATTTTATTTTTTATTCGTGAATTTTTTATAAAATATATTTTGAATGAATTATATTTTTGTAATTAATATAAAAGGTTTTTTATTCTTTTAAAAAGATAGATTAGGCCAAACCCATTCCAAACAATTGCATATCATGCTAGCTTGAATAACAAATCGGTTTGACATGCAAACATTATTAAATAGATATTAAATAAAATATAGTATCAATTGATTTATTTTTCCTTATAAAAAGTCATGTTAACTTGTATGTACTTCTATAAATAAGAATAAAAGAGAAATGATGGGGAGGGAAGCATTTGCACATAAAAAAACGCTAGTGTGGCTCGTGAACAATTTTAAATTAATGTCACACTCACACACAGCACAAATGAAAGTGCATAGAGAAAAACGCAAAGAACATATACTTGATTAACCAAAAAGTTTTTTACTGGATAGAAAAGAAAAAGAAATGCATCTATGAATAATACAAATGGATGGCCGAAAGGCAAATATTTTCCCATCTCATGCATCTTTTTTATACTCTCAATTTTTACCCTCAAGTTAAAAATAGATACTTAGAATATTTTTACCCTCCATATGCTCTTTTTCTGCAATGGACGGAAATTTTTTTTACTTGTTTATAAGCATTGTAAAAACTTGTTTGAGATTTTTTTTTTAAAAAGAATATCTATAAGAATCTTTTATCATTTGAAGGGTAAGCATAAAATAAAAAATAAAAATTTTAAAATAATTTATTTTTGTATACTCATGATATGTTACTTTATGCTAATAAAAATTTATTCAATTTTAAAAAAATTTTACTCAAATATATTAAAGATATAAATAATAATTTATTTTTATTTTAAAATATGTTGCTCCCATAATGAATTTAAGAATGCAACAGATACATTTGTGCTTTTCCTTCAATTGATGTGAGGGAAAACTCTGAAATTATGTTAAAGAATACATTTTTTGTTAAATTCTACGTCAAAATTAATTGAAAAAGAAAATTTATTCTTCAACAAATATTATTCGATTTGTATATGCCCTACCTAAATGTCTAAGCATATCATGCAAAATAAAATTAGCTTTTTTTTTTAAGAATTTGTTCGTCAATGCATCATGAGATAAATAAAATATGTATCATAATGAATCACGCACTAGAATTTATGTCATAATAATATTTATAAATCATAATTATATTCAAAAGTAAAAATAAATATGAATAACGATTTTAAATTAAGCAAGTATAACAAATATTATTCTACTATTTATTAATCATGTATATGTCTATAAAGATAAAAAAAATGATTAAGAAAAGTTTATGATCAGGAGGTATGCAATGAAAAATAAATTTATCAACTTCATATGATTAAATTAAAAGTATATGATTACAATGGTTTCATTAGATTTTTAAATTGTGGTATAGGTGTATATATTAATAATAAATTTGTTACCTCATGCATATAAAAAATATTCACAATAATTTATTTTATTTTTGTATACTATTTTATAATTTGTTACTCCTATTTTATCATTATAATTAATTGTATAATAAAAAATATAAATTACTCCTGTGTAATAAACAATTTGTTATATATCCTATGATGTGTTATTCTCACATAAATTAAAATTTAAATAAAAAATATATTTTACTTTATATTTTTTATTTTGAAATAACTTATATTTTATAAGATAAATTTTTAAACTTTTGCATTATTGCATTTAAATTTAAATTTATAAATAACATGCTTTTAATTTTTTCACCATACATGTTAATTTTGATATTATTAGGAGTGGAATTGAACAATTATTATGACATTATCTTATACATACAAAAAATATAATCAGCTCATGATAGGTTTTTTACCTATCATTTTTATTATAAGCCACACATAATCATTCAATGTGCAATTTGTTTTAAAAAATAAGCCACTGTTGATCCCACATAAATTTATTTTATTTTATAATTTATTATCTTGTATGTTTAAAAAATAAAATTAAAAAGCATTTTATACAAAATTTGTTATTTCATGTGAGTTAAGATTTAAAATAATAAAAATTATTCATCAAATTATACTCACATTTTTTATAATTTATATAAATTAAGTTTGTAATTTCATTGCAATAAAACATTCTATTTTATGATTCATTATTTAAATTTATATTTTATAATACAATTAATTATTTTTATATATATACAAAATACAAGCAACAAATGATAAGTGGAGTTGCTACCCTTACCAAAAATATTAGGTCTTATATTATTTTTGTATTATGAATCTTATATTGATAAATATTTTTATTATGGGTCCCACACCTATTTTTTATGAGTTCAACATGATATTTTAATTTATAAGAATTATATTTTAAAAAAATAATTTTTTTAAATATATATGAGCTTAACAAACAGCATACTTTATTTAAAAAAAAAACAAAGAAAGAAAGGGGACGGCATATTTTCAGAACTAACAATCATGACAAACCAACATAAAATATAATACACTTGTTAGCTCAATCAATTGATTTGAAAGAAACTCTCTAGAGATGGCTCAAAATAGACCTCCCAAATATTTCAAGAGTTAGAGGGGTACATTGGTGTGTCTTGTTTGGAGTTCCATTATCACACTAACTGTGCATCAGTATCACTATCAGAGAGAACACGTGAGCTGAAAGTTGGAGAGTGTTGGTAGAGGGTGGCTCAAACTAAATTTTAAAGGAGCGCTGGAGATAAGATCCTCGTATGGCGAGTTGCAGAGGAATCAAAAAACATTAGAAAGGCTGGTGAGTATGGGAGATTAAGGGGAAAAAATGGAACTTGTTGGATGTTGGCTGCTGAGAGTTGGGAATTTTTAAAAGGGATGGAGGCAACTTGAAAGGTCATGAGTTGTCGGAGATAGGTAATTGAAACTGATTTTGAAGGTCTAGCAAGAAAGTTGAAGCAAAAGGAGGAAGCATTGAAGCGAAATGAGTAAGGGCAGTCAACCCAAAAAAGAGGCAAGGGTTTGTTTTGGATTGATAATTTTATCGTCCGGAATGAGTGAGAGAGGTCAGCAGAGCATCAATTTTATTATTGTATCCCATCCTGCTACCAACACACATGTCATATAGATGGGACAACACTTACGTAATACTTAGTGATAGTGGCACCATTTAATTGTTTCCTAATTTAAAAAAAAAAATGTAAGCATTATTTATATATTTATATTATTATTGGCAAAATAACGTCTTCGTATGGCCAGAATCAAATGATCATAAAAGTATGTTTTACAAATGTTCTTTAAAAAGTATGCTAATCAAAGAAATCTAAACAAAGCCTTATTTATTAGAATTGTTTTTTAAAATTATTAGGTTAAATAAAGCCTTTGGTGAAGATACTTAAATTTTTTGATCTATTCTTTGCAATTGATTGGGGTTAAATAAAGCCTTCGTTGAAGATACAGTAAATAATATTTATTAATATTAATAAAATATATGATAAATTGCCTTATTTATAAATTATAAGTAATACTCATCTTTTTTTCACGTCTCGTGCGATATACACACCAATCTAATTAAGACTAAGAGAAAATAAATAAATATATATATAAATAAGAAGAAGCAATTCACATTCTTTTTAAAATTGAACAAAATCTTTAGAAAATATTGTTTCCTGTCATCAAATCAATGATATGAGTGGGGATCATTTGTTGGGGTCTATATATTTCAAAGGTTGGTTTTCAGCTTGTACCAGTGAGTATTCTAGGTTGGTCAATTAGATTACATTGTACAACAATCACTGCTGAGGTAGATCAATATAATGTACAAGAAGTAAACACTAACTTATTAAATGTTGCAAAATCAAATTAATCGATGAACGTTGAGTTGGAATGATCATTTATTACTACTTACACTACAAAAAAAAATAGATTTTTGT